AGCGGTGAAACACTGGCACAGGCTGCCCACATTGGTGGTAGCTGCCCCAAGCCTGGAAACATTCAAGGTCAGGCTGGACGGGGCTCTGAGCAGCCTGAATTAGTTGAAGATGTCCCTGCTTACTGCAGGGCGGTTGGACTAGACTAGATGACCTTGGAAGGTCTCTTCTACCTCAAACCATTCTATGATTCTATGGCAGTCCAGGCATGCGCACTTAGGAAGTTAAAAGCAGAAGAAAAGCCAGCGTGGCACATGCACAAGGAGATGGTTGCCTGTAGCCCTTTGGCAGGGAAGTTTCTCCCCAGTCAAATGCATTTCTCCTCCCTCTTTGTCCTCATACCTTCAGCTGGAAAGTCTGTCTGGGATTCAGTGCCGCCAGGAAAGTGAACTGCCCCAGGAATGTTCCCTGCTCCTCGTCTGCTTTCTCCAGGCCCTAGAGGAAGATGGGGGTGAAGAAAACAAGTGCCTGTTACACCGTGGGAAGACTTAACTTCAGTCGGTGAAGCACTGCTTCATTTCAGCTAGGTAGTCCAAGGAAGATGAGCACAAGGGAAAAGACGAGGAGCTGCAGCTAGGTAGCGTGGCACTCTTGCCTGCTCAACAAGTCTAAGCTGCCACTCAGAAAAGGAGCAGACATTCTCAGTGAAACGGGGGTAATCTGAGGATCACAAATGCCCGCTGGGATTGGAAGCCAAGGAGATCTTGGGCCGTACATTGTGTCAGCTCCTTTTCTCTGTGGCTCCTGGAACACCACCTTGCCCCAGAAGCTTCCTTTTGAGCGGGACACTGGGTAAAAGAGGAATGCAACTCCAAGGAGCTTGTTTGTTCTGCGAGGCAGGAGGAAGCTGCAGGTTGATGGACTCTTTGGCCCATATTCACCTCCCACTTAGAAATGCTATGCAACCCCCTGCCCCCCACTCTAGAGAAATTACTTACGTAGACAGCAAAGTCCTTTGGAGCTGTGGAGGTACTGTCTCCATGGTACGTTATCCCTGAGACATGGTCCATGGTGACTGCTTTGGGAATAACTGGCACAGACAGGATGATGAAGACGTGTCCCTGACTTCCTGGGAAAGGCCAGCAGTTTCCCGGATGATTTTCTGGCTGAAAGGAGAAGAAACTGTGGTTATACGGAGAAAGGTGCCCTGTCTCTCATTCCT